TTTTAGCCAGTTGTATGCTGGGAGAGAGCTTTAATGCTTGGTGGGGAGGAACGGATAATGGAGGGCCATCTAATAGCAAGAGAGCTGCTGCCCTCCTTGCTGACTGCCAGCCTCCTGCTGACCTCCTCATTGTCACCAACCTCCCACTAATTGAGGTCATCGATGAGCTGAAGGAAACGAGGTGGAGCACCAGCACCGAGAGGCTTGTGCACACTGACGCCTGTGCCAAGGATGGGTGGAACGCCAGCGAGGTGAAGCTCTCCAGGAGACAGTGCATCACGGCTGGTGCCGCGAGCCAAGTGCCCTACTTGGCCGGGAGCAAAGGCCTGTCATCTTCACCCAGCTCGAGGGGAGGAAGGCGGGAGCAGCCTACACCCAGGAGGGTGCCCCCCCCGAAGCTGGGGCAACCCTGATGGAGAGCTCAGCATCTTGTGATGGGGAACCAGGAGAAGGGAGGGGAGCCCCAGCCTTACCTGGGGGGCTAGTTGACCAGCCAATGTCAGGGAAAAGTGAGGGGCCCCACTATTCTGTTCACCAGCTCCCATGTTCACTTGGGGAGTTTTGGGTCTTCTAGGGTCCTGGGCATGCTCGGAGCCAACAGGGTGGCCCCAGCCTCAATTGTACCACCCTACCACAGCTGCAGCCTCATCAGCCCCACAGGCTGCCCCTATCCAGGGACCAGCCTGGCCCCTCACCAGCAATCCCCACTGGGATGGGTTGGGTGGTGATGGCCAACAGGTATCATGGCATGTCCTTGGGTCTGCAGGGGCTGGGTATGGATGGATGGAGGTGACATCACTACAGGATGAAGATGGCACCCCCTCCCTGCACCAACACAACCCCACTCCAGAAGAGCTCCTCCATCTCCTCCCCTCCCAGAGTTACACCCCACAGGAGGTAACATTAAGGGACTATAAACTTCCTCAGCTGCTCTGCAGGCAACCAGGGCACAGACCCACCAAACACCAGGTCCCCTAACAGAGCCTCCAACCCCAGCTTTAACACCCCCCTCCTTGCTCATCCCTACAAGCAGCACAGCCCTGGCACCCTGACAAACCAGCCTCATACTCTGGTCCTATATATCTCCCCTATATGCAAACACCCTTCTCACTAAGGGGGCTTCTCCCAACACAGCTCCCCCTGCCAAAAATCTAGGACTGTGCCCACATTATCCCCTGGCATTGACATTGCTGCCTTGCTCTGATACCCCAGTAACCTCAATTCCCCCCTTACCAGCCCCACACATCACCCCAAATACCCACTGCCTAATTCAACAGTTCCCTCCCAAGTCCAGCCCTACATCAACCCAGCAAACCCCACCCTATAGCATCCCCATGGCTGGGGGGCCCTCAGCACCCACCCTCTGCAGGGCAAAGGATTGCTCCCCTTTATAGGGAGATATGAGAACCTGGGGGGCAGCAGCCCCACAGCCTCTTTTCTTTCCTTACCTTCCCCCATGCATGAGGGGCTCTGCACCCTATAGACCCCAGGACTATCCCCCTCCAAGTACCCATAGTGCAAACACCCAGCCCTGGCTCAACCTCCCCCTCGAACTGCCATTGCCCTCCTGCTCCCTGCACCCCTCCTGCCCCACACAGCCTGCCCCGGTGCTCTGTCTTCCTTACAACACACAGCAAACCCCTTCTCTTGCCTGATGAATGCCCCAAACCCTGCTGCCCTCAACCCTACTTTTGTGGAGTCCTGGCATCACCACCTCCTGTGATTGGGCAGCCCTACCTGGCACCCTGTTTTGGCCCATGGGTGCATGAAACACCCCAAAAGAAAATCAAAAATGCAGAAAGTGGGGGAAAAGGGAAAAAAAAGGCAGGAAAAAAAAAAAAAAGAGGAAAAAATGGCGAAAATATTTGAAAAAAATTGCAAAAAACTTTGGGGAAAAAAAGAAGGCAGAAAAAGATGCAAAAAAGAAGGTAAAAACTGAAAAAAAGCCAAGAAGCTCCCCAAACCCACGCTTACCGAGTGTCACTTCGGACTGCATGGGCATGGAGAGCGCCGGGTGCTTCACCTCGCAGCTGAAGAGCGCCTCGTTGTCGATTTGGGGGTTCAGGGTCCAGGTGAGGGTGGCCCGTGCCTCCACCGTCCCGTCACTGACGGGCGCGTGCGTGTGGCGGAAATAGTAGATGGGCTCCGCCACGTGCACCCATCGCGGGAATTCCCGGCTCACCACCGTTTCGGGGATCGTTTCGGTGACGGGACCCCGTTCGGCTGCCAGCCCTCGCGGGGGGTCCGCTGTGGCCAGGGGTTGCCTGCCTCCCACTTCTCCTTCAGCTGCCAGCGATTTCGGCACCTTGGTGTCATCCAGGTCACGGTGAAGGAGGTTACGGGGTGCCCAGCTTCCAGCGCCGGCCGGCGGCTCCGGCAGTGGGGTGGCCTCGATGGGCTCCCCGTCCCGCTTGAAGTACACCTGTGTGGGGATGAAAGGGACGGTGAGCCTGGTGGGGACAGCCACCACCCCGGACATCCCCAGCTTCACATCCCCTTGGGTAGCTTTGCACAGGGCTCCTTCCCAAGGCTCCCACGAAAAGACGCTGCAGGGTAAGATTTGGGGAGTAGGCAGCTATTTGCCTTATTTTGTCTTTAAAAGCAGCATATCTATATTTTTAATATACAGATATTTTTATGCTTGCTTCATCTATATGTACGAGAGATGAAAGACCCTGGGGGCTCACCAGCGGGGCGGGCTTGCCGCCGGAGACCACGCACACCAGGGTGAAGTTCTGTGCCTGGAAGGGCGCCGGCGTGTCGGCGGCGAGCACCGAGATGGATGTTGGAGGAGCTGCCGGGGGAGCAGAGCTGGGGTGTTATCATGGCATCCTCAATACCCACCGATGCCCATCCTCGTCCCCATTCCTGTTCCCCACCCTCATTTTCATCCCCATTCCCATCCCCATCCCTGTCCCCATGCTCATCTCCCACCTCACCCCCTTCCCCATCTTCATCCTCATTACCCATCTCCAACCCCATCCTCATCCCTGGGGATGGGAAAATGAGCCAAATCCATGCTGTCCCTCCACCCTGAGGCCCCACAGGCCTTTCCCCTCCAGTCGCACCCAGCGAGGGGCTGCACTCACCCATCACGTTGAGGAATACGTTCCCAGAGGCCAGGACCACTTTCTCCCTTGTAGCTCGGTCGTAAATCCCCACGTGACACTCGTAGGGACCGTTGTCCGAAATACGAACCTCAGGGAGGCTGGGGAGCAGAGACAGAGCTCACCGCTTGCTCCCCCCCTTCCATCCCGACCCCATTTTCCTGGGGGATGCGGTGGTCGGCATCCGGATGTCAAGGCGTCGGATGGGGTTTCTTTTCGCGGATGATGGGGATCAATAAACTATTAATAACTGCAAAGGCTGTAGGAGAGAGCTGTGTAATGCGGTTTAGCAGCTGGAGTTTACCGGCACTGACAGCTCCTCGGGAGGGTAAGTAATTGCATTATTGAAAGGAGAAACTTACGGGAGGTAAAGCACTGCCAGGAGCAAAAACCTGCGGAGCGTGGACGTTAAACGCCTGCGGAACGGCGATGCGAAAGGCTCGGCACCAGGCGTTACAGACCGCTCGGGCGATGTAACGGCTGGAGCCAAGTGAGGTGGAGAGACAGCATCAAGAGCCCAAATTCCGAGCAAACGCAGAAGACGCGGCGATTGTTACATTATCCGGAGTCTTTACATATTGTATATGTAGAAAAAACAGGAGAGGAAAAGATGTGCGAAAGGATCGGTGCTGCTGGAGGTGGAAACGCTCCCGCTGGCTGCAAAGGAGATGCTTTGCCGGTCGGCAGCATCATCCCACCCCACCGACAGCAGCATCCCACCTTGTTGCCGAGCAGCATCCCGCCACAGCATTAAGGACGAGGGCAATTCCCACACGGACCACCCAGCAAACCATCTCCAGCGTAAAACGCTCCCTACTTTTGCAGAGAAACCCAGGCGTGTGCCTCGTGGGGCTTCCCCAGCTGGGGGTGAGGAAACATGGATCCTTTCCAAAAGCCCCTGGCTGCCTTCCCATGACTCCTCCTCACCGTGCAAACCCCCTGCCAGCACCAACAAGCCCCCGTCGAAGCGAACAGTTGCTTGGCAGCTCCTTTTAATGGCCGCGACGCTTTCAACTAAGCCTCCGCCATCTGTTCCAGCCTCTAATTACCCACGCACGGAGCGGGAAATCATCCACGCCCTTCGTTAGCAGCACACACGGGAACGGTGCCGGC